GAAAATTGAAGATTGAAGATTAAAGATTGAAATTTGACTAATCAGGACAAAAGGGACTAAAATTTCTTTGTCCTGATTGGTTAAATTTCAATCTTCGATCTTCAATCTCAATCTTCATTGCGTAGAAAATTGAAGATTGAAGATTAAAGATTGAAATTTGACTAATCAGGACAAAAGGGACTAAAATTTCTTTGTCCTGATTGGTTAAATTTCAATCTTCGATCTTCAATCTCAATCTTCAATGCGTAGTCTGATACGGGCTTTAGAGGTGACGTGTAAACGTAGTCTGTGACTTTTTGCTGAAAAACTTCCTATGTCCGTCTCCTTTTATCGCCATCTATTCTTATTACATAACCTATCTATACATGCACCCGTCATATTCAAAACATGTAAACACGTGCTTTTCCAAAAAGAACAGGCACCGAAACTGGCCCCTATTCTTTTAGAGAGAAAGTTTATTTTTTGTTTGATAGTGTGTTAAAAAAAAATGGGTAAAGTCAAGAAAATCAAAGTTTCTAAAGGCGCAACTAAAGAGTCGAAAATAGGTTTGGCGGAACAAATAGAATTTGATAAAGCTGTGAAGCCTACAATCAGGCAAAAGATCAGGCATCGGGCTGACGATGAAGAAGAAGTTAGTTCTTACGTTAATCTCTTTAATATCTCTTTAATATTATCTAATTTTGCTGAAAATCAAAGATAATTAAATCCCTTAAAAAACACATTTTTTATTTTGCTTTGATTATAATTAACATAATTATTATTTCTTCCTAGTACGTAGCTCCTACTCTGGCGAAAAGGATCTTATCACAAGCCAGGCAGCAACAGCTAGAGATTGAAGAAGAGATTGGTCTGAGTAATTCTAAAGGCACTAAGAAGCCGACTGTGAAACTTGGCTCCGAGTTGAGCGATGTCGAGGATCAATCTAGCGGTGATGAAGAACCATTGGATAATGTACATTACTATGAGAACATCGAAATCAACGAAGACGATGAACGCGCCTTACAGATGTTCATGTCCAGAGATCCAGTACCTACGAGAACGCTGGCCGACATAATAATGGAGAAATTGACCGAGAAAAAGACCGAAATCGAGACGCAATTTTCCGACGCTGGGACTATTCAGCTGCAAGACTTGGATCCACGAGTAAAGGCGATGTATGAGGGCGTCAGAGACGTTTTAATGAAATATCGTAGCGGCAAACTACCAAAGGCTTTCAAAATCGTACCTAGTCTAAAGAATTGGGAACAGATACTGTATATTATGGATCCACCAAAATGGTCTGCCGCTGCCATGTATCAAGCGACAAGGATATTTGCTTCAAACTTGAAGGAGAAGATGGCTCAGAGATTCTACAACCTGGTTCTGTTACCGCGTATTAGGGATGATTTGGACGAATACAAGAGACTGAATTTCCACTTATACCAGGCGTTAAGGAAAGCATTATTCAAACCAGCTGGTTTTATGAAGGGAATCCTGCTACCGCTCTTAGAATCTGGCACATGCACGCTCAGAGAGAGCGTCATTATTGGATCTGTAATCGCGAAGAATTCAGTACCAATGTTGCATTCCTCCGCCGCTATACTGAAAATCGCAGAAATGGATTACACAGGTGCAAACAGTATTTTCCTCAGGATATTCTTGGATAAAAAATATGCGCTTCCATACAGAGTAGTGGATGGAGTGGTGTTTCATTTTCTTAGGTAAGATATATAATAATAATGAATCTTTTATAAGCAACAAAATATTATTAGAAATTGCATTTATATTAAATATAATCTATTAGGTTTGAAAGGGACACCAGAGAGTTGCCAGTGTTATGGCATCAAGCACTCTTAACTTTTGTGCAACGATATAAAAGCGATATCAGTTCTGAGCAAAAGGAAGCTCTACTAGGACTACTGAGGAAACAATCACACCATTCAATTACACCCGAAATCAGGAGAGAATTGCAACACGCAAAATGCAGAGATGTAGAGATGACAGAACCCAAACCAGAGCCAATAGATATTAAAAATACTTAATATACAGCAATTGTATATATCAAAATATCTCTAAGTGCTATTGTATAATTATTATAAAAAGAGAATTCATATTAAAATTTAGGAATGTATTATCTTGGAAAACTGGATAATATACATCAATATCCAAATAGTACAAATTCCAGTGTAAAAATACATTTTTATTTAATCTTATCTACATATCGATTCCTTAATAAACTAGTATTTGTATCATTTTTTACAATTTTTAAATTTTAGAGAAGTTTATGATAATCTAAAACATCATACATAACAGCCATTTTTTTAAACATCGCACTCGTACAAGCACAGCATGAGTCATTTTACTATAAATATGTCTTATTCTTAACGCATACACACACATGAGGCAAAAATAGAGAAGTTTCTAGCACACACTTTAAACGCGATAATAATTTAATATTTTGTATGATATAAATAAATCATATATGTAAAATTTTTCATAATAACGAATGATCCGCGATTTATAAACAAACGCTTTGCTCAATATTATGCTATGAAGAATTTCAAGTAGGAAGTGAGCTAATAGCAGTAAATAGGTGCTACTATGGCCCGTATTCATAGTCTATAATAACGAATGATCCGCGATTTATAAACAAACGCTTTGCTCAATATTATGCTATGAAGAATTTCAAGTAGGAAGTGAGCTAATAGCAGTAAATATAGGTGCTACTATGGCCCGTATTCATAGTCGGTTCTCATTTCAAGACCGTCTTAAGTAATGTCTTAAGATGCTAATACGGCTCTGTGACTGTTTATGACATCTTAAGATTGTACTTAAGACGGTCTTAAATATAAGAACCGACTATGAATACGGGCCTAAATTATGTAGAAATCTGTGATTACAATAAATGTATCGATTCTTTCTCTGGATCCTCTTCAGCATCTCCAAATGACAAAAAATTCATGTGTCTTAACCTTCAGTTCCCATCATCATCGGCTTTCCTCTTTGGTAAGTCTCCTAAGACGTGCCACACATAAAATAAAATTAAGCCAGCCGATGACGATGGGAACTCAAGACACCTGAATTCTTTGTCATTTGGAGTTGTTGAAAAAGTCCAAAAACATTCATTATAATTTCAATAATTTAATAAAGATTTCTACACAATTAAGTTGTGCCTACTTACTGCACTCAGTTCTTATTAGCCCATTTCCTACTTGAATTTTTTATATTTGATATATTAAAGCTTTTTTGTTTTGTAATATTATGCTGTATGAGAATTCTATTATTTTCAAATATCACTGGATATATTTTTATATCTCTACATTATTTTTAGGATTCAGAACTTTCAAATCTTTCTGTTTCTTACTCGCATACTCCACATTAAGAGCATCATGTGGAACCATAGAAATAGTCTTTGTTATTCCTTGTTCAGATAAATAAACGTTCGTTTTAATCAGAGGTACTTCAGTTGTGCTAGATTTAGTTATTTTTTTATCAAACTTTTTATCTTCATAATTCTTGAAATTTTCCTGTAATTTTGAGCAGGTTCCGCGATCCACGTCACTGATATCTTTAATAAGAGATTCGGATTTTTCAGTTAGTCGATTGTTGAATTTTGTGTCGTTTACATTTACTTCTACGATGATATCTCTCTTCTCACGTTCATTATTCTCCAAAATATCTCTATGTACAATGAGAACCTCTGGTTCGTTTCTGTTTGATGGCGAAACAATTATCTTGTCTGATTTTGATTGATTCATCATTTTTAATGCTACAGGTACAGAATATCTGTCATCGTGTTTTCCTTGCAATTCCTCTGACATATTCATAACTCCATTTGTAAGAGCCTCTCTCTTCTTTTCCTTCATTTGATGATTATCGCTCTCTTTGGCAAGTACCTCTTCCGCAATGGATCTCTGTAGAGCTCCTTTTGATAAGACGTTCAAAATAGGACCCTTCATACTTTTCGATTCGTTAAATTCTATTCTCTCAACTTTCGTCTCGTCTCGTCTTTCCTTTTGTAACAATTTCTCAGGTATTTCGCTATCGATGACTACCTCTTTGATAAGATGAGATTTATCTGGTATATTTCCTGATATTTTCTGTAATGCTTCTATATCTTCGTTGTGAGAAATTTCCTGAAAGGAATCAAATTTTTTCTTGCTGCTTTCAGCTGCCACATTATTATTCTTGTCTTGAGATTGTTGTTTTTCGTTGATATTTATTTTATTTGCAAGATTCATCTCTTCCAACACTACTTTATTTTTTTTTTCTTCTATACTGATCTCCTTGTTTTCGACAACTTTTCCACCGTTTTCTCTCAAGTCGATTTTGCTCTCCGACAATATATCCTCCTTGTCAATCTGTATCTTCTTCTCACTTTTCTTAAGTATCTCATCTTTCGCCATTCTTTGTTTTTCTCTTTCAAACTCCTGCTTCTGTTCCTTGATATCCTTTAGAATTTTCTTCTGTTCCTGCATCATTTGACGTTGCTCCAATTTATGCTTTTCCAGTGTTTTTCTAAGTTGCTCATGCCGTTCCGCAGCTCTGGCATTAGCAACATCTCCATCAGCCGCTAATTCTGATTCCTCCTTCTTTATCGCATCCAAATTAATGAGATTATCGTTCTTCTGCAAATCCACAGATCGTTCCTTCTCCTCGATTATCTTTATCTTCTCCTCTGCTTTCAATGTAACGGATTCATCAATTTTAACGTTATCAGTATTCACGGCAACCTGCAATTGCACGTTTAAATTCTCGTTTAAGGTTTTAACTGTTCCAATTTCTATTTCTTTTATTTCTGACATAAGAGTGCCTACTGCTGCTTTATCAGGTTTTTCGACACTCTGTTTTTCGGTCACAATCACACGTTCAACGGGTATGGGCGGCTCTTGTCGAACGTCTTTCACTTTCAAATCCAATGTTTTATCAAGAACATTAATCTCGGGTAATTTATTAATTTTGTCTGTAATAAAATGTAAAATCACAGAATAAGATAACACAATGAGAGCAAAAGATAAATTCGTATAAAAATATACCTTTTCCTCTGGGAATGAGTTCCAAACTATTAGGAACATCAGGAATGATATGTAAATCGTCCTTAATTAAATTCAATGGTAGATTGATTTGACCGAGCGGCTTATTCGTTATCACTAATTTTGCATTTGTAGACTCTTCCATCGCGTATAAATTGGCGTACGTACCAAGCACCATAATCCAAACGCCGATAATTAAAATGCCCTATAGAAAATAAAGATATATATATAACATAGAAAAAAATACAAGAGAAATAAAAAGAATTACCGGTTAGATTAATTTTACCTGTGCTACTAATCTTTCATTAGTGTTTTTACTGTTTATAGATATAAAGAATACTGCCGGGAATATTAAGCAGATCATTACCCCGATCGTCGAGCCCACGATACCAAGGACAAACTCTATATTTGGCACTAGAATACCGATTATAAGAGAAATGCTGACTATTGCGACAGTGAGACATCGAAATCTGAATTCTGATAAATAATTTATAGACGGCTCGTGGGTATATACCTAATATACAACAATAAAAAATATATAAATTAAGAATTAGAACAATAATGTATTTGATCTTCTAAATTTTTTTTTTTCGAAAAGCGCATACATACCCGGCGAAATAAAAGGGAATTCAAGCTCGCACGACATGGAAAAATGACTAGAGGAAAACTGAATGCAACCGAAAATACGAATCCCATTTTAATCAGTTCGGATGTTATGCTAGGCTCGAAACTCAGTAAAATATTTCCTGCAATATATAAAAATAATAAGAGCAACTGTACAAGTTGAGAACAATAGAATAATAATATGACAGTCGTTATAATGCGACAATCGTTTATTGTAAAATACATGCATAGCAGTTGTTAAATTACCTGTAAATGATTGAGTACAGAAAGCAATGTAACCAAACAAGCCAACACACATATATACAAGAGTACATATATTTAATGCTCCTCGTACAACATCATTCATTTTCTCTAAGGATACATTTGGAATGGTTTCGTATATTTCAAATAGTTGAGTTTGACAGAAGAGAGCCATAGAGAATATTGGCAGGCACTGAAGAATGCCAGCTGGTCTCCAATAGTTAACACTGTCAAACCAATCTCCCGCAAAGATATGTAGGGTAGACTCACTTACTATCTGTCGAGAAAAGAAGAAAGTATATAGCATGTATAACTAGCGCTTATATATTTGAGATTCAATATTTTTATGAACACATACTGCAAGTTACATTATACCTTCAATACGAGACAGAGATAAAAGACAATAGTAGCAGTGCAAATGCTAGATAAACTATCGATATTTCGAAGCAGTCCAAGAGGTAAAACTATGAAGACTCCAGTAAAGATCAGCAAACTGGTGCGTATTTCCCCTGGTGTCTTGTCCATCATCTTGCTGATTATCTGTGGTCCCAGATCGCCGACAACGACGAAGTAGGCGATGCATGTGCCCAGCATAAAACCGATGATTAAAAGCTCCGCAAGGAATTTGCCCATGTGACCAAATGCGTGAAAAGCAAGTAGTTCAAAGTTTCGTCTTCTCGATATTACGGCCGACTTGATGAGGAAGTGGCATGCCAGTCGTGACAAGGTGCTACACAGAAGTAATACCAAAACGGCCAATACGATGCCGCATTGCTTGAAGCAAAAGGGCATTGCCAGGACGCTCACACCTATGACGCTGTTGGCGAGAGTCATCACATGCGACATTTGGGAAATCATTCTCGAAATCTCTGATTGAAGTTTAAAGTTGTAAGCTTTCTCTTATATTCGACGTAGTGTAAAATTCCTTTGAGTTTCACATCTCTCTGTAAGCGAATACAATCAGTTATCAAGAGTCATTCAGAAAAGTCATCTTAAACAATAATATTAATTTTCTTGAAACAAATGTTTTGTACAACAGATGTGTTGTCTTACTCTTTTCGTAAAGTACCTAGCATAAAAATCGTTTACACATGTGAGTAATCGCAGCATAAATTAGAGAAATGTATTATTCTCGTGAATGATAAGGTTGTAATAGTCGAGCCGCCGACGAGGGGATGCCATGCGCTTCGTGCTAAAATCTTCGTCATCTTCAGCAAATTACATTTTGCGATAACGTGGACGTTCGGCGATGGTACATTGGAGATAAGGAATCATCGAGATGCCTGCCGGCTTATCAAAACTGCCCATCTTGAATTTCGGTATTGAAATCAATTGAAATGAAAGTCCAGCGCGTAATGCAAGATCTGTTCTTTGCTTCTTTGTAGCTGAACTTCTTACACTTTTTGTTCTTTTTCTCTTTCCAAAATTTTTAAATATGTTTCTATCTCATTTTTAGTGTATACACATTAGTGAAGAAAGTTTAGTTACAAAGAATAAATCTATATACAATAAAATCTCCTTATGTATATAAATTTGATTAAAGTATCTATGAATAAAAAAAATGTTTTATATTGATTATCCGCAAAAAATTTTCTAAATGCTTTACTTTGTTTTCTTCACTCATTTAAAAATGCTATATAGATTCCATTTTGTTCGTATAAATATAGATCATTATAACAATCATATCGATTAACTTACCTAAGAGATTCTTATCCATCTTATTTTTATTGTTCAACAGATCAAGAATTTTCCACTCTGTCCTCTTCCCACAGAGAATATCAAAATAAAGATCTTTGAATTTTTTTTACTTATGTAATCTTTTCTCTGAAACAATTATTAGAACTTGTTGACATTTTTTAATCTCTGATTGTCCACAATCTTTCTGGATTATAGAAGAATGTAGACTCCATAAAACTAGACATATAGAGATATTTTTTCATTTTTTTATTATAAATATTTAAAAACGCCCATTTATATGTGTACTTTTTATGCATGAACATAAATATATATATATTTCTTGATCTATATCTCGAATAGACTTATACAAGATGTGCAATACATCATTTTGAATTTATTTTTATGTGCATGATAAGTGTCGGTCAATTACAGATTATTATGGATGTGTAAAAGCAATGATGGTCTGACCTAATCGAGTATTAGAAAGAATATCGATAAACAAGTAAATTTTATATACATAAAATTGTCAATGCATAATTTTTGCCTCCACACGAAAAGCTAGTGAAAATAACTGTGGGAATGTACAATCTGAGGAAAGAGTTTGCGACAAAATATTTCTTATTGCATAAAAATCGTGAATGCAGACTCGACTTTTGCCCAATAGCGATATGACGATATCTAGTTTTTGTTGCAAAAATCGATTCAGATGCCACGAATAATTTTTATATCTCTTAAATTAGTTTCTTGCTCAATATATATTTAAGATTCTACAGCTATGCTCTAAATGGATATATACATACATATATACATACATATGTATATATATATGTATATATAAACTGCTTATTACTCATACTTTCTTCCCGATGGTTTTATTTCTCTCTCATGCATTACCCAAAAATATCAACGGAATATCTTTTTTCTCTTTCCTTTTAGATACCCCTCTAGTTTATTTAGATTAATCAAGATTTGGGAATTGACCTATTTATGGTACTATAAAAAATTGAGACTTATGATATGACAGTTATGAAGTTATATATACAAATCAAATGAAAGCTGTAAAAAATATAAATTTTTAATTCTGTCAAGTTGTGGATATTTCTTACGTAGCTTTAATTCTCTGAAGTATATGTTACAAGTTAAAAATATTCACTGCAATTCGCCAGATAAACTAGAGAAGTGACCAAAGTAATATAGACATTCACATATCTCTTGAGTAATGTAAGATAAAATACACTTTACATTTTTCAAAAAGAATATATACCATTCCAGTATTGTTATTGCATGCAAGGGATATTTGCTTCAAGATTAATTTCTGTATGTTATGTACACAGGAATAGAAAGCAAACAAATTCATTTGACCTATTTCAAAAGAGCAATCTGTTAAGATTTAGTCTAAGTGCTGTCCTTCTATAGTGCATATAAATTGCACATTATTCTTCATCAATCAGATCAATTAATCGTGCGCAATGAGTAAGATGTACGAATTTATACCGAGCGCGTGAATAAGATACACGCAGTTGGTGCGTATGTGTGCATGTATATCGAATTTGATTGCAGTATTGAACGATAAAATTTCGGTATAATCTAATGTTTTGAACCAGTCGTCAATATCTTACAATCTGATTTAAAAATCTGTGAAACTAAAGCGTGCTTATAAAAATAAAATAAACATCTATGAGTGATCTACGAAGGATCTTTCGTACGAAAATTGACTGATTTACACTATACTTCAGGTGATATGCTGTAAACAAATATGTATAAAAAGAATTATGGTCAGATTATAAAATCCTAACGAATCGATTAAGACACCGTTCCGCGCGAGCATGGATATTTTTAATCATTTTTGTGCGGTATTTTCCATTACTTTTCATTGGAAAACATTCAAAAATATGTTTCCGAATCTTTAATAGTCTACGCTCTTGTTCTAAATTACACGCTCATACGTGTCCATTTCAATGAGATTGCCATAAATAGAGTGAAAGATGGTATCTGATATCGCTAAAAGTCTAAACATTTTTGAGTTTTAATAACAGAAACAAAAATTTTGAATTATGGAACGAGATAAAAGTAGCCATGACTTCTATATGTCATGTGCTACCATCATTTAAGTTACTTAAACTTATATGTATTTAATTTAAATAAAGATTTTTCCATCTTTTCAGATGCTCCGGGGCAATTGTCTATCAGGGATTCGCTCCGCCGTCCTTCTTCGCCTCTTCATTTGTAGAATTCGTTTTTTCGTCTTTTTCATTTTCTAAATAAAAAATTTTAGTAATTATTAATTTTTTTGTCTAATATTAATTTGCAAACATAGGGAAAACAGTAATATTCCAATATGACTACCTTTCGGCTCCGATTTTATATCTTCTTCCTTCTTTATATCAGAATCAATGGCCTCCTGACCTTTTTCCAAACGCGGTCGCTTTCTATCTCTAGATCCCTTCAACACACAAAAAAAAAAAAAAATGTAAAAATACTTATATACCGCATTTTCCTACAACTAACCACATATAATAGACATTACATTGCACAATAAAACTCATACCTTATATGATCTATTATCTCTTCGCGCACCTTCTCCTTCGTCTTCGCTGTCGGTATATTCATTTTCATGTTGTATTCTCTTGTCCAAGTCGCGTTGAGGTAATCTGTCATCTGGATTTACCTTCTCTTCAGCTTCCGAATCCTCGATGACAGCACCATCCTCTGGAATTGCTTGAACTTGGACACCAGGTGCATGAGGTAGCATTCTTAAGTTTTCAAATAGTCTTGTTCTACAATTAAACACAGTTATGGAATTAATTTGCTTATAATATAAAAGCCAGGATATGTATAGAATTGCAAATTTGCTTACTTTATTTTCTCAAGATATTCGGGAGTGTTTTGATTCGCCATATTTGAAGGACTAATATGCAGCTTAAAGTCAGGGCCAAAATACTCAAAGTAATCATTATATGGAAGTTCATTCGCAATTTCAGACCCCAGAGCTACAGATGTCTCATATGTCCAACATCTGGACACATTCCTAATTGTATAACCACCACCTCCTACCATCAAGAATGGCAAATTATACTTTTTAACAAATTCCACACATTTACCATGACCCCTCACAGTCAAGTTAAAACATCCCAGTCGATCGCCTGCATAAAATTAATATTAATTAATATCTATATTGTAAAATTTTGTACTTTTATTATATAACATATATTTATTATATAACAATTATATATCAATTTCTTTTAAAAAATCTTACCAGTCAATGAGTCCGCACCACATTGCAAAACCACAGCAGAGGGTTGAAAAGTTTCCATTACTTTTGAAATAATAGGGACGAATATAGATTCGTAACTTTCATCATCCATGCCATCTCTCAAAGGTATATTAACTGCATAATACTTTCCCTGTTGGATAAAAAGAGAGAATCATATATGGCAATTAATCATTGTAAGTAAATAGAATTATAAACAGTTATAATATTTTGACAAGCTTACCTTCCCTGCTCCAATATCACGGAGATCTCCAGTTCCAGGGAAGTATTCGCCATATTTATGAAATGAGACTGTCATTACTCTATCTGTTGTATAAAAAGCTTCCTCTACACCGTCGCCATGATGAACATCAATGTCAATGTACAGAACTCTCTGATGATATTTTAGCAATTCCAAGATTCCAAGTACAATGTCATTCACATAGCAGAAACCTGACGCTTCGCTCTTTTTCGCGTGATGCAAGCCACCGCCCCAATTGATGCAGATTTCTGAGGCTTGTTTGTTGAGTTTTACAGCAGCAGCTACAGATCCACCAGCCGATAATTGACAAAACTCATACAAACCATCAAAAACAGGGCAATCTTCTCCTACATTAACTATTGGAAAATAAAAAAAAATATTAAAATATTCTTAATTTTAATAATATAACTTATTTAACAATAATATCTTACATCGTTGCATTTGTTTGTTATATTCAGACATGTTGTCTGGTCTTATGGATCTCAGAAATCTGATATACTCATCGCTATGGAATTTTGTCATTTCATCTGCTGTGGCTTTATGAGGTCGCTAGATATAAAAATAAAGCGTAATTATATTACAATATTTTTATATGTTCAATAAAATATAATAAAATATAATAAAATTTAATTATGATGATAGCAAAAGTATTTCTTGCATAAATAAAATATAATTCCCTAAAAAAATTCTTACATATATTTCCATCTTTCTATAAAGACCATAATTCAGAAGTAGATTGTGCGTCATCCTTATACGATGTGGCTTCATAGGGTGTCCTTGACCATAGTAATAATTTCCGATATCGCCTAATTGAAAAAACGTAACGTAAATGAACTAACAAAGTGCTTAAAAAGTGTAAAAAATGTAAAAATATAATTATCATTGAACGGCGCACACAACAAACTACGGTGCTCTGGAGTATATTTGAGAATCTCTCGCAGTTACTTTACAAAAACTATATTAACATCCACAATATTCGCTGAAATACGGATTTTCACCAAAAATATTTTCAGTGAGCATAAATTACATTAGGGAAATGACTTAATGTGCTTCACATTAGTCAATAATCTCATAAAATGCCGCAATATTTTTAACAACTTAACCTATAGCCATTTCAATCTCTGACTTTGTTTTTCATTTTTATGACAAAACATTATTTGATAATGATGAAAAATTACAGTTTTAAATATAATGTACATAATCGTCGCCACATATTGGGATATATATTTGAAAATCCACGACTTATAAAATGTCCAAGTGATACTGCACAATTCAGTTGTCATATAAAGTCTATCGCTATAAAATTATGCAATAATCAATTATTATCTTGGAGAAACAAAGATAATTACAAATTATTAATCATAGTAAGCGACATTGATTCGAAAACAAGCAGATTCTCGAGTATACGGATTTATAGTGGCTATGCATATATATAAGTATGGCCGACGCTTTGGCTATGGTCGCACGAAAAAACGGCTAAGAATCTCTCGGCTTAACGTCGTGAAAATCGTATCATCTACTACGAGAAGCATGCAAATTTCGATGAATCGCGCATCAACAGACGCGCTTCAATGCCTTTGATCATCGACGAAGCACAGATAGATCGATGAACGGTCGGATGCCGAGCTAGATCGCTTGAAATAAACGCGGTAAGCGCGAATGGCGCAAACACATTTTGACAAGCTTCTCGTATGTGTGTGTACGATGTTTTCGTGGATATTTTTCTGGGATAACTTACTGTCATAATAGTAGCAAACACGTTTCCTGCTGTGCGGCTGCATGGACATTTTTACGGGATCCATTTGGATTAAATCGACAAAACACTATGAACGGAATTAAACCAGGACCGCGGAGTGATCGCCGCTCTCACCAACGGGATACAGCGTCATTAACCGACACACGCGCACGCGCCTCGCACTCGCATGCGAGTTGCAAGCTTGTCGCGAAGGTAGCGCTGTAAAATGATGCTATTTCGATCATAGATATTATATTCTTGAGAATGGCAATCTGGCGCGCAAAATCGTGAACGTAAAAAAAACTAGATTACATCATTTGCTCGCTTCAAAGCACAAGAGTCTTCGTGATTGGTCGATCAAACGCTTTGAAGCATCTCGGGCGGAGTATGATTATATGTGTGACGTCCCGTCATTTTTCAAAACCATATTTTAACTAATAATTAAGTACCGCATCTATTTCTGCATTATGCCACCGACGAGATACTATTAAAGACCGTCAGCCCTAGGTAAACTTTTGTGACCATCAAATGGGCCCGTGGGCCCGGAGGTAATTGAAGAATGTTGACATTACCGGCCGTTTGATTGGATCGAAGATATAATTACACGAATTATTTAATTCATACGGTTATTTTACTTCATCCAGTTATTATTTTATTATCGAAAACACCGACGAGATATCATTAGAGACCAATGGTCTTATATGATTTAGCATATTACTGGAAAAAAACTCGGTACTGTAAAGATAAGTGACAGATAAGTAAATCTTTGCATTGTCGATAATAAAACAGTAAATTTACAATAAAATGTTTATTTTCTTGTTCTTGAGGCAATTATATAAAAGATCTATACATTTTTGATAATAAAACAATAACTGGATGAACTAAAATAACGCGCAGCTAGTTTTTTTTTCCAGTCACACTAAATCCTCTAAGACCACCGGTCTTTAATGGTCGGCAGGTGTGACGGCCAAACTCCGAATTGATATTGAGACCTCGCGCGGTGACAATGCGAAACTCCGACTTCAGGATTATCAATCTGACAAATAAATTGCCGGTTAGAAACTGATAAATTTCTGTTTATGACTTTTTTATGTCAGATTATTGTAAGTGCCTTAAAAATCGTGGCGACCGTTACGAGGACCACCCTGTATATGCTTTCATATACCAGTACTCGTATGTGCTTACGCGATATCGGTACAATTGAAGAAAGATAATATAATTGTCTACGATTAAGACTGTTAAAAGATAATGTAATATCAAACAAGAATTGACAATCATGCTATTTCTCTATCCCGCTAATATGATAAACGAAATATCGATAGTAACAAAGCAACAAATCTCACAAAGTCTAACAGGCACCCGTGTCATACATATTGTATATTTATTCACTCTGTTATCTAACAATCGCTTCCGTGTGCTCAACATATCGGTGTGCTTTCACGGACGCTACACATATGCGATGAAAGAGAGACGAAGACGGCGTAATCATCTCTCTTTGTCAGTATGTTACCACGGAAATTTCCCCATGAGCTGCTCCTTACATACACATCTAGTGAGATCCGCTTATTCCGTATTTAACATCGAAGAAGTCATATTACTTCATGAAACTTTTTTAAAGAAGTTCTTTATATAATTATGCAGTCCTGTACAGAGCCGAATTTTGCATTTTGGCTCTTAAAAATTTATAATAAATGAAATACAGCTCATGGCCAACTGCACCTAATCCGCCATGAGCTGTACCTAGTATGTACCTTTCTTGTCAACTTATAAAGTATTATTTTAACTCTTTTTTTTCAAAAAAAATAGCTCTGTACAGGACTGCGGATGATCCTACTGATTACAAATATCACAGGTTTAACATGATTCTCTTTATTTTTTGTAATACGGGATTTCGTAATACGGGAGAAGCGAATTCGTAATTCACGGCTTCCCGCGAGAGGTCTCTACTGTCAATCCTGCCGACCCTTAATCAATGAGCTCTGTTAAGCCCGTATCAGACTACGCATTGAAGCAGAATCATGCAACTTTCGTCTGAAAAATTTTTGTCTATGACGAGTTACAGAAAAGATATCAAAATGCATAATTTTAAATGGGACACCCGGTATATAAATAGTTAAGTATACAGATGTATCACATATAAAGTATTACAAAGTATTTTTCTTCGACACTTGATAAGGTACAAAAAAAATATTTTAGACAAAATTTATATAAGATTTATAAAAGGAGGAGAAAAAGAGGGAGAAAAAGTTGATAATCTTGAATTTTAACCAAGGTTATTTTTTAAGGTCATGTGAAGAACAATTAATTTTTTTTATATGAAACTACTTTAATTTTTTTTTTATAAATCGATTCCTTGCAATATGCGGCGTAAAAATTTATAAGGTTAAGTATGACCAAAAATTGAATAATTTACGATATTTTATACTTTCATTTGACATAATTTTACATATACAATTTGTAGCCATTCTACCTTTATAATTTTTTACGTTAAATGTTGCAAAGAATTGATTTTTATATAAAAAATTGGGATGCTTTCATTTAAAAAAAAACTATGTTGATCTTTACATGACCTTGAGAAATCATCTTAAAATCAAAATTCAAGATTATCAACTTTTTATCTTTTAAAACCTTATAAATTTTGTATAAAACATTTTTTTTGTACGCTGTTAAGTTTCGGAGACAACACTTTGTAGCATTTTATGTGAAACATCCTATACATATATACAGGGTGAGGCATCTAAGACAGGCCACCCGAATAACTCCCACAGTTTTGGAGATAGGAGAAAATGTTTGAAATAAAAGTTGTATGGTATCGAGGGGGAAATCTTGTGGAAGTGAACATTTTTTTTAGGTGGAGGCGCTTAGGAGATTTGAAGGTCACCTTCATTTTTTTAAATGGAACTACCCTAATTTTTTTATACAAATCGATTCCTCGCAATATTTGGCACAAAAAATTATAAGGGTAAGATGGCCAAAAAGTGAATAGTTTACGAAATATTTTGTACTTTATTTTGATATAATTTTACATAAACTATAAAATATTTCGTAAAATATTCATGTTTACATTCGTGTCCAAGGTGATTGAATGTTTATTTACATTCTACGATCCGTATAAGCGATAACACCAGAGAGAACACGAATGTAAACATGAATATTTTACGAAATATTTTATAGTTTATGTAAAATTATATCAAAATAAAGTACAAAATATTTCGTAAACTATTCACTTTTTGGCCATCTTACCCTTATAATTTTTTGTGCCAAATATTACGAGGAATCGATTTGTATAAAAAAATTAAGGTGGTTCTATTTAAAAAAATGAAGATGCCCTTCAAATCTCCTAAGTGCCTCCACCTAAAAAAAAATGTTCACTTTCACAAGATTTCCCCCTCGATACCATACAACTTTTATTTTAAACATTTTCTCCTATCTCCTAAACTGTGGGAGTTATTCGGGTGCCCTGTCTTAGATGCCTCTGTGTCTTGGACGCCCTGTATACATATACAGGGTGTTCAGCGTAACGGTCCGCACGAATTTTGAGACATTTCTGACAGTTTAAAAAAAAGTTCATATAGAGAAAATTAATCTGTTTTACGCAAGCTATCATGTGCAATAA